TAGGTGAGTTCATTGTATTGAGAGCAGCATCTCATTCGTCATTAGGTGAAATAGATAACTTCGGTTTGATCGGAGACACCGCTTAATGTTATTTATTTATATCAAATGGCAGGCGTTTTGATAGTTATCATTAGCCCTTTAGTTGGCTTCAGGCTTCACAGAGGAGAAGGAACATCAAAGTGACAAAAAGTCGAGAGGGGAACAGAAGAGTGATTTCCAGGTGTAAAAGAGACAGACAGACAGACACAAAGGCATGAAAAAGGTAAGATGAGTACTGTGGATGGGATCGAATATGATAAATAGTCGAGCAATAGTAGTTTGAAGTCAGAAGTCAACTGCCGATCAATAGACTTTTTCGCCGTATACGTATACGTTGCCCAGGGTGCACCACGTGGATGTAAATCTATTGTGCACCCCACACCGCTTAATATGTAGTTCCAAGATTCATTCAAACATTGGTTTCAAACAGCCCAAGAGTACCTGGTCAATGGGATATTCCAGTGGTTAGAATAACCTACTGCACGTGTAAAATGTGGGTTCCTAATAATGCTGACTCCAAAATATATTTATATGTCCCAATAAGGTGTTGCTTAAGTGGGGCTTGGAAGGTTAGAAGATACCTTAGCTTCTATAACAAAAAATTCAAAGTACTATTAATTGATTAAGCTAAATTTAAACTACTGGTTAGAGAATCCCTTTTGTTATGGGTGTATGCTCTCAGTATGAATGTAAAAGAAACTTGCAAGTATACAACCATTTCGAACTTCAGAAAAAAATCATCATTTTGGGAAACTTAGCTCACTTTCGAAGTAAATCTGTGGAATAGGAAGTCATAAGCGTGCGAAACATAAGGGCGATGCCAGAGATTTTCATATTGGTACTTTTATAAATAATTGAACGGATGCATTTTTTCGTCCTTGCAGCTCTAACACTTATGTAAGAAGACACTAAATCAATCGTAGGAGAAAGAATCATCACTTCTAATTTCAATATACTAACAACTATATGGGGTCTTGATGCCTTCGAATAAATATGAATCGACAACACTACACTTAGTTCTAATCTGATGTAAAAACACAGTCATCTTGGTGTTAAGTTAATGTCCTTAATTTTCACCATTTTCGACCGGTTGGCTATCTAAGTGACAAGTGAATACAGTTCCGACTGGTACTCTTTATACCGAAGTCTTGAAATTTGCATGTTGCAGCTCACCTATGCATTTTTAATTAATAAATAAGACAATTGACATGTTTAGCAAGGGGATAGTGCCTTGTTTGCTGAGGTGTTTTGATAGTTATCATTAGCCCTTTAGTTGACTTCAGGCTTCACAGAGAGAAGAAGGAACATCCAAATGAGAAAAGGTCGAGAGGGAACAGGAGAATGATTCACATATGTAAAAGAGACAGACAAAGGTGGAGAAAAAGGTAAGATGAGTACTGTGGAAGGGGTCGAATATGACATACAGTGGGGTGATGTTAGTTTGAAGTCAGAAGTCAACTACCGATTGATAGACTTCTTTGCCATATGAATATACGTTGCCCAGGGTGTACCAAGTGGAGATAAGTGTATCGCACATCCCATGCAGCCAATGGTAGAAATAATAATTCAACCCCATTGTACCTAATGAATGAAGATGAAAGAAGTATTGTATTTTCATTTACCACAATCCTGGCAAATGCCTATTTTTTACAAAATTGGTTGTCAAATATGCATGAATCGAGTGTCACTTTATTGAGTAAATTTAATTATTTGAGTAGGAACAATTTTAGCAACTACGTCTGAAATGTATCTTTGAAATGGACGTTAGGTATCAGCCGCGTTATTGCACTGAATAGAATAATGGGGAAATTTAACTAAAGTTTATCTAACCTCAGATTGTTGGATGATGATATCCAAGGAGGAATATACTTGGGACAACAATCAAATCATTTCAAATTGTACAAGTTAATAATTCCCTCAAATGAAATACATATGGCTAACTGTACAGCTGAATTGAAACTAGTCTAAGTCGAATTGAAACTGGTACCTACTACTAATTTATTATTCAAGATCAGGCTAAAAGTAAAGGCCTCCAAATATTTAGACTTTGAATAAAACGTCTGTTCCTTCAATAGTATTAGATATGCCTAAAATGGTTCAACGTCCTGTAATGAAAGATATTCCATATAACAAACCTTTCACCAACATGTCAGGATGCTTCAAGGTTTTTTCCCTTACATTTAAAGGAAAAACAGTAGAATACCGTCTCTAGCATGTCTAGTTGTTGTATCTTTCCTTTTAATGCATTGACTAAAATGCCTATTTAAGAACAGATTGCAAACGAATCCACTGTTTTCCCCCGTTTAGACATCAATGAGTGCGCAATCAATCAGGGTGGATGCGTTTACGGATGCGAGAATTTGCCAGGAGGTTTCCGCTGTACCTGTCCAGAGGGTATGATGCTTGCGGACGATAAACTCTCTTGTAGACCTTGTAAGTTCAATATTTAGCTGATTTGTAGATCATAAAAGATTATTTTAGGCAAAAGTTGAGCAAATCAGTCACTTTTACTTAAAATTAATTTTTATTTCATTGCAAATTAAGACGTTAATTGTTTATTATTTACTGTAAAAGTGTGATTTTTTCAATGCGGAGATGAATTTTGATGCAGAATGCATGGCACTGGTGCACTGAGGACCGTGCTCGGAGAACCGCAATCTGTCCTGTCTCTTATTATTCGTTCACTTATTAAATTTTGACCAATTCGTTCTGAAGTAATATTCGAGGAAACATTTCCCCTCATTTTCCTGAGTAGTCTTGAGTTAGATGCATCTCTTCGAAAGTGGAAACAGAAAAAACTACTTGGAGTAGTCGATTGACCGATTCTTCTTCTTGTGCTTGTTAAATTTCGGCTACCTTTCTTTTAAACCTACCAGAAACAAGAATGAATACTGACTGGAACCCAATGTGATGTCAAAATTGAAATCACTCACGCGCTTAGGTGAATTTTGTTAGCACCAAGGAACGATGGCGGTCTGTGATATTCTGAAATGAATTAATTAAGTTAATTGTGGTCTTATTGATTATGATTCTTTTTCTTTAAGTGAATGCATGGGCCTTACGATATCTGGCTTCATGTTTTATCGAAATAATTCTATCACTAAAATAACAGATATCTCTCAAATTGCCTAACTCAATCTGTTAAAGAAGAACATGCAACTGTAGTGATATGAACAAAATTTTACCACCCTCATGGTTTCAAAAACACCAAATACAGCCACTTTTCTCAGGTGTTTGTTGTCCCTTTAACGTCCTTAGGATCGCACGGTCCTCTTTCAAAGTAAACTACATTGATACTTGACTCTTAACATAAGACTCCATTGCCGTTTGAATCATGCTTAATGCGTCTAGAACTTTAGCTTGATACCACCAAATTCATCCCGTCGGCGACACCAGTCTACTGCGAGACACGCTTGAGGGCGAATGGAAGCATTTTTCGAAAACTAATTAGGGTGTTAAAGGGTTAAATGAGCCAACCCGTCAACATTTACCGACCAATAGAGGATCGTGCTCAAGACTTTTCTGGCGAAATTCAGCGATTTAAAGGCGCAGTATTCATTCATTTCACTAAATGAGGAATTGATGAGCAGTTAGATTAGAAAAAGAGGATATTTCAAATTACGTCTCTATGTAATTGAATTCACTAACGCTCTGAACTAACTGCCTCTTCACTTGAGCTAAGAATTAATTATTCCAGCCTAAGTATATGGAATTTTGAAATTCATGCATCATCTAGCTCCAAATCAGGCTAGGTTTCTCTCTGTCTATTTATTATGTCTGCGGATGGTAGACCTTTTCTCTACATTAGACTAGCCTTGTACTAGGAATGGCTTGAAATAATCTGTCAGATTTGACTTTAACCAATCATCTTCGTCCATGTGGTCAGACGATTTATCAGTAGTTCTTTGTAAAAGCATCTCTTTACTATCGATTCAATCCGTTTTTACAGTCACAACTATAATTGCCAAAGGGGCATCACTTTGACCTGAGATGACGAAATAGCCTTGCCCTCTATATTTGCTCCTCAACTTAATGAATTGCAAAACAATCTCTTCTTAATCTTTTACTATTTTATATTACAACGAACAAACTTCGTGTGAACGAAGATTATTATAAAATAGGATTTAATTTGAGAAAAGTTTCAATGTCAAAAGAATCACTTGATTACTGATATAACGCACAGTGTTATTAATTAATCTAAATTTCTGTTTTTTGAAATTGTCAGCCAGTGGATTATTAAACTGGATGACACTCAAGCTGACCGCCTTAATATATTTAGTATTACGTATTACCCTGTCATGCAACAAGGTACATGTTAATAAACAAGTGTTTTTTTTGTCACAAAAATGTTTATTCATTCACCTTCAATTGCAGTTATGGATCCTTGTGCACCACCAACGAAAGGAGGTTGCGAACATGTCTGTACAACTCTTTCAAGCTACCGCTATGCCTGCTCGTGTTATCCTGGTTACAGACTTGCAGAAGACAAGAAGAGATGCATTGGTGAGTGACTATTCTTATTATTATTCAACATGTTGTGCGACAATGGTGTGATTGCACCTCTTGTTGAGTGCTGTTTCTCAACGTGAATTTTCACATAGTCTGTTGGTATCTCAGAGTCCACGAATATGCGGTGAAAGAAAGTACGTAGAGAGCAAATCAACATGAGGACGTGAGGGTTGATTTTAAGGTCGCTGGTGAAATAACTTTATTTTGAAATTGGATTTATACAAATCTCAAAGACTGCTATTATGTGCAATTTTATAGGGGTATAAGTTACTAATGTTTATAATTGGATTAAGCTAAAAAGGTTATATTAATAGTCACGTAAACGGCAAATTGTGCAGTGTTGAGCATTTTCTTCTGCAAAATTAGTATTCAGGAGAAAGTTGCCAACTCGTTCGCATTCAAGAGCATACTGAACTGTCTCATTGGTTGTGTTTGTCTCGCAAGGAGAGGGATAATAATTGAACTTCTTATTTTGGAAGCTCCAAAATGCTATCACTCTACAAAGGACGAGTGTTAGAAAATACTTTCATGAATTATCTTTGTTAATTATTGCGTCCAGGTATTATGACAAAAGACAGAAAGTATTGATATTAGAGATTCGATTTAGGGAATAAGATAGTTCAAGCAGAAACTTATTTCCTAGAATAAATAAAATTGCATTGTTTAACACATTTGACCATTGGAAATCACCCCAACTCTACAATTAGCCATGAACTTTAAATGAACATTACCTTAGAAACCCCATTTTACTTATATATGCTACTTGAATCCGGACAGTTTTCGTTAAACTCCTTTTAATTCAGCTATTCATTATTAAAGTGTTTTACTGTTTATGTGATCACATTTGGCCTTCTTTTCCGATTCTCTAAAGCAAAGCTTGCTTTTCATGAGGCAATACTTCCAGCTAGAATATGCGGAAGAGGAACCCGTGAGGTTACGATTGTTAGTACTTATCGGCACGAAATTTAGTTCTATAATTATTCAATCATTGGATGTATTAGAATTGCTTATAGCAGAGAAAAAAAATGGACGAAATTAAAATTAAGGGAAATATTAGTACTGGGAGTGAGACGATTGAGAAAGTGACTATGATCAGTAAAGATGGTTCCTCACGATCGCCATAGTGTATCTGAATAATTTAATGTCCTAAAGTTGAAATTGCAGGATTTGACTCTATAATACTTCAGTGCGTTTATGTTCGTGATTTACAAATCTTTTAAAGGAAAAGTAATTGGTTGATCTTAATAGCTCCAAAAACGTTGCCTCTTCTTTTAATCGAGATTGCTTGAAACTAACCCTACTCTACTGGCAAAGCGCACGAAAAACATCCAGTTTTAAATACTTTTTTAACGGTTCGTTTCAAAAGATCATTTAAATAGTATTTATAAGCAGATTAAGGGTTCGCTATTTTACGCTGGTTAACAGAAACCCGATATAATTAATCTCAATGAAGACCAGGTTTCTCAATAACTGAGGTGAAATCTATTTCTTTGTCTATAATCTACTCCTTATACCTATCAGTAAAGTTGAAATAACTCATTTCCAGAATTTGGTTGAGCGCTTAATTGACTCATATTGCATTCAGAGAAACCTAAATGTGTGAAAAAGTCATTGCAGCTAGAAGTCTACGAATTAGTCATTTCTCATAGTGGTGGAAAACTCGAAATACAAAATATTTTCGTGCTTTTTCGGCGTCAGTTACGGTAAAAAATAACTCTCGAATGTGTTATATAATAGCATTAAATAACAAATATGCCGTCGCATAAAAATGTGCGCACATGAAATGTGATTTTTCTTTATCATGAAATTGAGACTATTGTCGAATTCCAATTAAAAAGGGTAAGCCTATCGTCTCTCCATATCAAGAACTGAATTTTGAAGAAATTTTATTTTAAACTAACGTTGATAGAAATAAGAGAATTAGATACCCTTCAAATAGAATGAAATTTTAAGAAATTTCAAACAATTCCTGATATCTCAGCTGATTATAAATTTCATTTGCTTAATATTTTCTAATTAATATTTTAATTTTTAAAAGAATGCTTTGTCGGCTTATAGTTACATTTTCGATATCACTCTTGCTGACAGTAATTACAGTTGTGTATTCCTTTCTGTTTCACTGGGCTATACCCTTGCATTTTACAGGTCAAAATCCTTGTCTAGACAACAATGGCGGCTGCGAACACCACTGTGAAAATGATAATGGGGTAAAAGTGTGCTCCTGCCGACCTGGCTTCAAAGTTTCCCCTTACGATCCACACAGATGTGTTGGTAAGTTAAAATTGCATGTTTTTGCCTTTGCATTCGTAATAACTACCGTGACGTTGGCATCAAATCATAATATTAAATTAATTAATGATCGTCCGTGATAGTTATAACAATCCATTCCGGTTTCGATATTAATGCGGATTGATAAAGATGATCAATTATGTAGATCTCACTGCTTCGCCTTTATTTACCAAAGCGCTATTCATATACTTTAAATTACTATGAATCTCCTGCCTTTTATTATCAATATGTATGAGTCATCTGCCACGCAACTACGCTGTGACTTGTCTATGGGGACCCTTGAGCAGATTTTAATGTCCAGAAATGAACCAAGTATCTTCATTACTTACTTCCCATTTTCTCTCACACTTCGAGTTCTGGTTGAGAAGAAGCGCTCATCAAACCTGCTTTTCATTTGTCCCATTTTTATCTTTATTCCTCCTGTGGATATTAAATTTTGAGATGGTGGATCGCTGTAAACCACCGAACCTTCTGGAGACTAAAGGGATTAATGAACTTACAAGGGCGTTTCTATGTACTTTTGTTTTAATTAAGGCCTCTTGCTTATCTAAGGTTCAAATTGTGGCATATTCCGACAATATAGAATTGTAAAATAACACAGCAGGACAAATACAATTTTTCATTTCAGAAGAAATCTGTTGTCCGGTTAAGGCAGTACCTCCATTTGACCTAAAGTTTTGAGACCCAGTGACCCAGAAATTTCTCTATAGACCCATTTACCACCCACAAGTTACTAAGTGTGCATGCTGAATTACTTTAAATCCATCTGACACCTTGCTGGTTTCAGTTCCTGTACTAAACTAATTTTACCTCAGGAATAGTGGCAAATTCTATAACTCAATAATATCATGAAATTATCCCAATCTTAGGATGTTCTTCACAATTTTTACCAAAGACAACGCCCCAGCATTTTAAAAATTATGTAAATTTCACAAATAATTAACAAATTATAACAAATAATTTAAATTGTTTCGGATAATACATATGTCGCTTTATCCACCACCTCAGCTAAAGTCAGTAAACCATACACTTAAATTCTTCTGAGGTCATCTGAAGCAACCAAGGTAACATTCCGACCGATGATTGGGTTGCAGCTCCGGAGTTGTCTAGATAAATTATCACTGGATTAGTTTTATTTAAAATTTACATTTGCTAATTGCGAAAGGAGACTTTTGCGATTGTGCACCTTGATTTGAACCCCACCATGCAACATCGACCCCTTCCCGAACTGTGGAAGACTGAGAATCTCGTCCGCCCTCTCCTCGCATTGTAAAACATGGAGGTACTATTCACGCCGTCAAAAAGTTCCCCTTTCAGATAATTAAAGGTAGAGAAGGAGAAAATTGGAAATTTTGAGGTCTCAGCAAAAGCCCTCAAATCATGTAGAAGAGAAGATAATGATACTGATGATCACAATAACTTTTGCTATACCATGGGCAAGAACTTCCAGGCGAAGACTGTTTATTGCGGTATTGAATATTGAAAAATCAATGGGTATAACTTCAAGTCACTTGAATAACAACCGACCGGAATCGGATGGGAAATTTCTCCGATAGACCCAATAAGACGGAAATTAATGCAATATCTAGTCCCATGGGAACCTGTTGATTAGCAATCGAAGCCTCACCTGAATTTTCTATATCCATTTTTGACAATTTCCATTCGCCGAGCAAAACCAGGTTTATCAGGATTGATTTCATCGGGTCGTGTGCGTTTATCTTCCACGGATACCAGACGCTTAAAACAACAAACGGCCTTGGGTTTAACTTGAATGAGATTACATAGAGCAAGATATTTCGGAAATTTGATCATAGTGGATGATTCATAAGTTCTGGAGGAGGAGGAATAGGCAAAATTACAATAACTTCTTTATTGCAATACATCTAATTTGTCTTGTGATCAAGAAAACGGCATGTCATCAGTGAGGGTTGGTCAGACGCAGTATGTTCGGAGAATTTAGTCATGAGTTTCATAATCTTTATTCAATTTCGGGCTTAAGTATATAACTCCCTGCCATCATTGGCCCACGTGGAGAACATTTTTCAAGAGTCAGATACAACCGGAGATAAAGTTCTTGTTTTTTTAACTTAAAGGAACAGATGTGATAGAGAGAACAAAAGTCGTCCTAGTTTTGTTTCTGCAGAATGAATCTCTCAAGAATTTTGAATATAATTGAGTAATTTACTGCTTTGCTGTGAAACAGAAGTACTTTGTATTCTACATTAAAGAAATTGCTAAAGATGCCAAAGATAGCCCATAACCTACTAACCGCAAATTTCAAAATTCAATAGTGCCATGTAATTGAGTTAATAGGAGTCTAGACTCCAGGCTTATTTTAATGAGTATACTAATTTTCTTAATAATAATTAATAATCTATTAACTTTATTTATCTTTGAGAAAATATGCATACATAACCATCAGTTTATTTCACTTTTTATTCTTGTGAAATTCTACCAAACCTTTTGCCCAAATCAAGATTAATAAAATTCTTTCAAAATTTGCATTCATCCTAGAATTATAAGTAGAAAGAACGCTAAAAGAATGTTTTTTGTTCTGAAGAGGCACAATTTTTTCACTCCATTTTCTCCCGTTTTCTGTCGAAATGTCATATCCAATTATTGTTGACCGACAGAGGAAAATGTGATGTACATTCTGATAATCGAATGAAATATCTTCAAAAAAAATTGAATACAATCGACGGTTCGAAATTGGTGCTACTGGAAGAATTGCATGGAATATGAATTTCTTTATTAAAGGCTTACATATTTGGTTATATGAGATAGTGCTTACAATCATATTAGTAACCATCTATAAATCCAATGCGAAATATATTAAAATTATTAGGTGTATTTGTTAGACAGGAATGCATCTTACTTATTAAACCAGGGAATTTCTGATTTCAAAATATGAATTTGTTTAAAAGGTAAAGAAATTTGGTTAATGACATCAAGAATTGTACTGCTTCCATACTAGGCCCAGACCTAACGTTGCCTTCCCAAATTGTGAAATGTTAGATTTTGTCAAATACATCTACCTTTAATTTACGGATCATTAGAGTCGTGGTAGTATTGTGCTTAATGCATGAATCGTGGACGACATTTTGGAATGTTGGAAAATTAAATAGCCTTAATTTTAAGGTAAATAGAAATAGGTTAATTTTCAGGAATTGAAAGGTTTAATTTCTATATGCTTGTGGTAATATTATCATAGTGGCAACAACCATTCACTGATTTTCTTTCTGTAAACATTTTCAAATGAATGCCGACATTAACAACAAAAACAGCAACTTTCTTACGTAAGGTACTTGGGTAAAGTCTGCTTTTCTTAGTGTTGTCGTTTTTTAACTTGAATCTCAAATTGGTGGTTTTCGGTGGCTAATTTTGTATATCTAATTTGATTTATTAAGCGAATCCTTTGGTTTGTAGATCTCCATTATTTATGATTAAAATATACCAATTATGAAACCTAAATATGAAAATTATTGCAATATCAATTGGTTTTTTAAACATTACTTTTGCACTTTCACATGTCCTTGAATCACTGACCTCGATTGCCCCATATAGCGAACTAATCTCACAAATAATTGTTTGAATTTATAATTCAATTAAATTAGTTTGATCAGCTGGTAGAGATTTTGCTCTAATACATAGATTAGGTAAAGAGGAAGAAGGCGGAAGGACTTTTAATGGAAGAAAACATGTACAAAAAGATTATGGAAAATGCCATTAGCAATTTCTGCGCTTTACAAATTCGTTCCGATAAGAGACATATTTGTATTTATTCGGAAAACCTTCTTTCAGAATGACGAAAATTGTATTTTCTTCTTTCTAAATCTTTTCAGACATAAATGAATGCGAAAGAAATAACGGCGGTTGCCAACATCGTTGCATAAACGTGGAGGGATCGTACAGTTGTGATTGCAATCCCGGATGGCAACTTGGAAACGATGGACGAACTTGCTATAGTAGGTTTCATTGCATCCTTGTTAATTCCAAACGTAATGGGAACATCCCGCAATCACACGGATAAATTTTTCTCGTACCAAATTTAAACATCAAATTTAAATTTATAATCCTTTGCAAAACAAACATAAAGAAGTGGCATAAATTGAGGGGAAGGGTGGGGTTTTGATTAAAAGTCAGTGAATCAAGTGGCTCATACTTCATTTAAACAATAGTTTCATGATAGAGTTCTCTTTGCATAGAGTATGCGGTTCATTTTGCCATGTTTTGACTTCTTAATTTCTTAATAATTTCACATCTTCTATCTTCAGAGCCTAAGTTGAACTGTTTGCTCATGCAGTAAGTTGGTACTAACTAAAGGGATCTTAGCCCTAGTAAGCTCATTCATTGAAGAGTGAGCTGGTGATGTATATTTTCAGAATTTTGAATCACAAAATTCATTGAATGCATTTTTGACGAGATTTCGGTGCGTGCCATTCAATTTTAAGTGAATAATGAAAGAGGGCTTTGAATCATTGACATTTTGGTCCATAACCAGACATTTATACGCGAACCAAGTTGTGTTTGGTGTCACTTTGTCCAGTGGTAAGTTAAACTAAAGGTCTGCAATAAAGACATCGGTCTAAAATTTAAGATATTGTTTCCAAAGAAAAACACCTTTTTTCATTTATCCGCGCATTGGTCAAGCTTTTCTCCCATATCTGATGTTAATTTCAAAAGGCAATCTCGTCCTTGGGTATATAAAACCACTATTCCAAGAATCATGTTTTCGTGTATAGGGTTCAAACAAATGTGAAAGTGTAATTGGAAAAGTGCTTTAGATGTCCATTGAATATCAACCGAAGCTGAGACGGGCTTCAAATGAATGGCATAAGATTTATTTTTTATGGTAGAAATAAATTTGTAGTTAATCTTCTCCTTAAAATGAAGCATTTGCAAAAGCGAAAACATTAGAAAAGATAATTTGATGATTGTCATATGCAAATTGTACAACAATTTTAAAAGTTGAAAATTAATAGAATTGAAATCAAACGTTTAGAAATGAGAGCAATTTTAAGGACTTGTTGACATATTCAATTTTGACCAGAGTATGCTTTTAAATTGATACACACAGTGGTTATTTTATAATTAGGAAACTGACACTTGTATTTGATTTCAAGAAAAATGGGGAACCTGAAAGAGTGGTGTATAATTATATCATGGAGTATAGTTGAGAGTCATGGCAACTTTAATTAGTATCCCATTATAATTTCAAAGATATGGAGATGTCATCGCTACCATGTTCAAATTTTTTAAATTTATTTTACTAAATTTTTAATTTAGACCTACCCATTCCAAAGTTCAGCTTCCATAACTCATTATGCCCACGACATTCTATCCATTTTTTTTCATTCAGAGCCCAAGAAAACAGGACTTAAGTGGCATTTTTCTATTATTGCAGCCAGATAGAACTAAAATAGGCATGCCAAAGTTGATGTAGAAGTAGATAGTTTGAATTGATCACAATCCCATAGAAGGTTCATTTCCGTAAATATGTTCAACCTAGCTCTTGCTCAACTCTGGTAGCTGCGCCATACAAATTCAAATTCTTCATTTCTACGACCCTTATCAATGATTCATTGAAAGACTCCTTCCTGGAAGTTAGTCGTAAATTGACTATGAATCTCATATTCAAGGGATTTTATGCAGTGAAATTGAAATTATCCTCACTACTTTTCTACTTTATGAAGTCGCATTAAGTTGACTCAATTACTCTCTGCGTTTCGGTATGGCGGTATCAGTAGTCACATATTCACAAATGAATAATTTATCACACAGTCGCTGCTGTAATTAAATTGCTGTTTTATCTTCGCGTGTGTGTGTGCGTTTGTGTGTGTGGTCTGCTAGGAGTTGTTTTATCGGGATGAAATAGCCAGCGGAATTAATCCTGTTCCTCTTTCCTCGTCCGCGCTTATAATGCATCACTTGCCTTCCTCATCAAAACCAGAATATGGGAAAATGGCTAGAGTTACTGGAATACCACGTCACTGAGAAGTTAAAATTGTGCTCGAAAGACAGCTGGTTGGTTGAGAACATTATTGTCGGATGTATGAATAGTAAATTTCTTTTTTGAAACTGGAATAATTCAGTCATTAGTGGGCTTATGTAAGAAGAAACACGAGAATAGAATTTTCTAGAGTGTCCGGAATAAATTTGACAATCTCATCGAGTAAAAGAAAAAGTGATGACCATGTTCGAAATTTGAAAAATTTAAAATCAATTCAATACGCTATTACGAAGGAGCTTTACACAAATTAATCACCAGTGGATTCCATCACAGCCTCAAACCCCCCCCCCCTTTCACGCCCTGCCCCCACCTCCAGAACTTGGAGGAAGCTAATTTTGCATTTGTCCTTGGAATGATCTCTTACGGTGATTTAATTTTGATCACAATAGTCTTTCTTCGTAGTGCCCATTGCACACATAGCAGGTCATTAACTAATGATCTGTTTGAAAATATTGGCTGGCAACAAGTTGTGACTTTCCACAGAAGTGTGGGAAGTGGATGTGCGTAGTCAATAATTCCACGTATATATTTGAATTTAACCTAAGCTTCTCTTTTAAAAAAATACTAAAAGTGGCATAAAATCATAAGCTTCCTCTTTTGGTAGGAGGTATAAATGAGTATATTCGATAACTATTAGAAAATTTTTAAACTCACTAGGCAGAATTCGCTTATTTGAAGCGGGATTTTCAACTCAAACTTTCCTTGATTCCAGCTGAAATTTAAGCATCAACACTACGTCAATTTTAAATATAACCATTCATAATTTTTAGGTATTATATATTTTATGTTTTCTTGCTATTGCCATTGAAAATTGTTTAATTGAACCAATAGATATATTTCTACATCTCTATTTTTCTTTTCATGATAAGAAAATTGGCTGATTCATTGGTAACCCATTTTCTTATTCTTGGCCAATCAAATAAACAATCAATTCCATTACAGTACTAGTATATTAATATGCCTCCACTTTAATTGAATTCTAATTTGAACGGCAGTTTCACCCCTGTTCCACTCCTGAGTTGGACGCACGTAGCCATAATATGGCTACTTTAACCATTCAGCTTATATAAGTCTTAGCACCTACCTAAAAGAATGGGGAAATAGGTAATTGTATATGCTTCGCTCTAGCATTGGCCAAAACATGTATGTACAGTAACTTTGCAGGAGCATCAGTGTTGTTCTTTAATTGACATGGAAACGTAGTAAAAGCAATTCGCTTGTAAGTAGTTACTGTAGGCACAGCTACTCCACCGCCCCTTTAATCCCTGGTAGGCAGGCAAGCATGCAGCATTTGTTGTAGTTGAAGTAGTCTTTTGTGTATGTCAACCTCTTATAGAAAAGGGAGGAAAACTTGTTTCCGTGGGCCAAAAAACTGCCCCCTCCCCCCGCCTTTGATCATGCAAAAGCTCCTTCTTTCTGCGTATCTGGAAAATTCATTTCTATTTGCACAAAATAAATGCATGCACATTCAAAATTACAGCCTCCTTCCCTTCCCTTCCCTCA